TCTGTTAAATAATAGAGCATCAAAGAATGTTAAGGGCAAACGCCTCAAGGAGGACAAAGACTCATCTTAAAGAGACCTGTAAGCATAGTTTTGTGTAATGGAAGGATATAACTTGACACACAAAAAGCCAACAGAGCTTTGGACCTGTTTGGACTTAAAGCAATAGAGACACTACAAAAGAAAAACAGACCTTTGAAACCCTGAACATTCTACTGATAGGAAGGAAGCTGAGAAGGCTATTCAATTGCAAACACAAACCACTTTTTAATTGGAAAACAAAAGATGCCTTAGAAGGCAAAATTAACAGCCCAAAGGAGGGGCAAGTACTAGCAAGAATGACTCACAGGGAGCAGCACTGAGCCATAATTAAGGAACTTCCAATATGTGCCCAGTTGGATTTCAGAATCGCTATGGGCCAATCAGTGCTGTATCTTCCCATTTGCTCCATTCTTGAATGAAAAGATCTGCCACAATAATTATATTCTCATCCAACCACTGTCTGTTGGGAGGGAAGGGGGAATAGAAAATTTGTCTCTTCAGTTAACATATCTTCAAAGAGAGAGAAACCATGCCCAAGAAACCAAACCCAAGTAGTCTCACCTGTACCTGGATCTAACTTAGATGGTTAGATCCTGGACCTGACACTTGAGCCTGATATTGTAATGGAATGACACCTATTGGTGAGTATATTTTGTACATGGGATCAATGTAAATAATTTGTGGCCAGAGACCAGACTGTATTGATTTTAAAACAAATCCACAAATTCTTTGACACTCCCCATTAAAAGATGGGACTTACGCTCTCTTCTATGAAATCAGGACCATCCTGAGTGACTGACTTATAACCATTAGAATGCAGTAAAAGTGATGCTATGTGACTTCTGAAGATAAGTCTAAAAAGGCCATTCAGCTTCCACTTAGTTCTTTTGGGACACTCACCTTTGAAGCTCTGAACTATCATGTAAGAAGTCCAGCCACCCTGAGGCCACCACGCTTTAAGCAAGCCTAGGCCATGTGGAAAGGCCACACGTAGATGCCATGGCCAGCAGCCTCAGCCGACATCCCACAACACTGACCGAACAAACACCAGACACATTAGTGAAGACAATCCTGATGATTCTGGCCTCCAGCTGTCATGTCAACCCCAACCATCAAGTCTCCCCAGGCCCCCGACGTCACTGAGCAGAGACACAGCGTCCCCACCATGCCCTTTTAAATTCCTAATCCACTAAAACTTTGACCATAATAAAATGGTTGTTTTATGCCACTAAATTCTAGAGTAGTTTGTTATGCCATGAAAGTAGCTAGAACAATATTATAAAGGAAGAATTCCTGTCAGTTTTCAAGTGAGAAAACCAGGACAAAGAGAGGTTAAGTAATTAACCGATGTCACAGAGAAGCAAAGCAAAAATTCTAAAACAGACCTATCTGATTCTAAAATTCATGTTGATAATCATAGTGCTACCCTATCTCCCACAGATATCTCTATCTCTTTGTCTTGTCTTGTTAACTTTTCCCCACCAAGAATGATATGCACACTTCGTCTGCTTCTCTAAGACCAGATCACTGTTTGACGTCATATTACATCCCATCTGCTCTGTGAAGCACATGCCCAGACTCCAGCCCTTAGCACCATCCGTCTTCTGAACTGTCTCCAACTTACATTCTATGATTTTCATTTGACAATTAGTGAACGGGAGTATCATTAATTCGTGATTAGTAAATTCATTGCTTTTCTGATGCACGTTCCTTGGCTACCCTCTTGAATTATATTCCTAGACAAGGGTTGAAAATACAAGTATCTACAGAATCACAGCAGGTAGTATACAGCAGTGAAGAGAGGTAGGTGCAGAAGAACAGACGTGGTCTGGATCAAGTCACATTGGGAAGCAAATGCCCCATGTAAACGGGTTGGCCACCACCCGGCTCCAGCACACTGATTTTCTTCATAGCGTGTATCACCTCCTGATATATTATACATTTATTTGTTTATTGTCACTCTCTCCTCATTAGAATGTAAGTTTCCTGAGATCAAGAACTCTGTCTGCTTTGTTTACTGCTGTATCACCAGAGCCTAGAACAATACTGAGTCTCAGTCAATAAAAATCTGTTGAAGGAATAAATGAATGAACAAATATTGCCAAGTGGGAATATAAGCTCAATGTCGCAAGATTTTCCAATTTTTCAAGAAAAGCCAAAATAAATAATTTTATGTGCAGTCTCCCAATTTTTAAATGTTGGCAACTAATTAGAAAAATCTTAAGCCATTTTGGGGATGAGTAGATGAAATATGCCTGCAGGCTTGGATTCGATCTGAAAGCTGCATTTGCAATCATTGTACTAGAGGGATCTTAGACATTTTTATCTTTCTAATTTCTCAAGATAGTGCCTTGCAAATTGTAGATAACTTGATAAGCAAATAATGATGATGCTTCAAATATGCACACTTGAGGCACTGCTACAATTCAGCCTTGAATTATTAAGATGCTAAAGTTACTCTCTCGTGTTCCAAAGGAAACTACTTCAGCTTCTGATCCAAAACGGCCACCTGGACTTCAGACAACCATTCCACACCCAAGATTCTAAAGCTAAACTTCCACTTCTTCCAGCTCTTAAGCGCTCAGAAACTTCCCATGTGCTCTCAGTAATAAAGAGGAAAGGCAGTGAAAAGAAAACAGATTGGATTTCCAAGGGATGACAGGAAAAGAGAACCAAGTTTTAAACCATATTTTCGTAGTTGATAAATAAGGGCACCAATGGCAATTTTGTTTTCCCTTTTACTATTCTTAGCATTTTTAGATTATACAATCTAAAAAGCTATTTCAGTTGACCTTTCAATGTTCTCTGGTAGCATGTTTTATCTTTTCTACATAAAATTTAGTAGGAAGTTTAAAATGTTTACTAATTACTTAGATTCTTAACTCTAATAAAAAATCACATCTAAATAATTAGAGTGTGCCTGGTTTTAAACATGGGTCACTTAGCAACAAGCATAATCGTGTAGGGCTGAGAACACTTTTAAGAGACTTGAAAGAAAACATCCTAGGAAAAAACATTTCCAGGGGACTCTATGCTACTAGCTGACCCACAACGAGTCAATCATCAACTTCTGAAGATGTGAAAGGAAATGAGATGTCTGGGTGTTTCTTTTCTGTGTATGGTCCAATGCACATAGCTTTCAAATGCCCATGAGACATCAACAAGCGTCAGAGGAATTCAACATATCAGATGATTGTAAGTCTGAAAGAATAAAATGTCTTCTAGCCCTCTACAGGCACCATTTAGGACATTATTTTAATAATTACGTAGATGAATCCACTATGTGCAATTCTTCAGTAATGGCATTAGTTTTCTATGCAGGCAGGTTTTATTTTTTAAATAAGTCCCACAGTGATTCAAATTGAAAGTAACAGTGTGAAAAAAGTATTTAGCCAAACCTATTTTGCAAAGTTTAGGTTATTATAGAGCTATGAACTTCCTACAGACTAAGAATACAGATTTCCATTGACTTCTTCTGTTATATTTGAGCAACACTGAATGTGATGGCCGCTGGGTGGGAGAATCATTACCTGGGTTCTCTTACAGACACACAGGCAAGGTGGTGGGTCAGAGCTCCTAGGACACAGGGGGAAAATTCAACATTGGGGGGTCCTTATAGACACACAGGCAAGATGGTGGATCAGAGCTCCTAGGGCACAGGGGAAAGCCCAACATTGGGGATCAGACCAACAAAAGTTTGTCATCCAGCTCTACCAGCTGCTGACTTTTTGACCCTGTGAAAGTTACTTATCTCTTTAAACCTCAATTTACTTTACTCATTTGGAAAAATGGAATCACAATACTTTGCTTTAGGGTTGATATGAAAATGAAAATAAATGCATATTTATTGTGTAAGACATTGAAATGAGAAGGAAATTGTTAACTCAGCATGGCCTGACCTAGCCTGATTAATGCCATGCAGTAGCAGAGCACCATGGTGCCATAATGGTAGCTGTCGTAGAGAGTCCAACTGATTCTATTAGAACAGATAGTGAATTCTGCAGGTTTCCTATGTATCGCCCTTCCCTGAGAACATATTTCTGCAGACTCGGGTGTTATGGGCTACAAGAAGCTTTATACCTTACAGAAGTTCTAGCATATTGGCAGAACTTATATACAAAATAATGTTCACTGAGTATTGCTGTTAATCATTGAAAATCAGAAAAATTAAAATGTTCATCAATAGGAGGGTGACAAATTTTGATATACTCATTCAACCATTCTATTCAGGTAGACCAAGAACATAATTTTAAGCAAAAAATAAAATGAAATAAAAATAAGTTTTAGAATGATATCTATAATGTAAAACCACTTATATAAAACTTTAAAGCCTGACATGTATTGTTAATAGATATATACAGACTTAATAATTCTGTGATACTATGCATGGAAATGGTAAATGCAAACTTCAGGACAGTGGTCATCTCTAAGGGAGGAGACAAGGCTGTGGGATCAGGCAGCTGTAGACAGAGGGCTCCAACTCTGTCCAATATGTTGTACACTTTCAAAAATTAAATTAGACTGAAGCAAAGGCAAAGTGTTCAGATTCTATAGAGCTGGCTGGAGTTTATTATTATTTCCACATTTTCTGTATATTTGAATTATTGCACAATAAAAAGAAGCAGCTTTCCCAGTCACATAAATAAAGACAAGTAATTTCCCAAAACAAACAACAGCTGTTCCAGAGAAACTCAGGAGATGAAGAGAGACAGGGATAGTGGGGATGAGGAAGGTGCCTCAAGGAATAAGAGGGCTGGGTATAGGAGTCACTCCTCTCTGACTTTCTGAAACAAGGAAGATAATTCCCACCACCACCACCACCACCCACCCCTGGGGCTAAGGACAGAATTCAGAAGTTTAAGATATGAAGAGGATAGAAAGGATTCAACATTAATGCAAAAATCAGGTTACTTTACAGAGAGTACATTATCCAAAAACATCATTAAGCTTAAAATACTTACTACAACCCCACTCTTGGTGGTAGTTTCTCTGTGTGTGAAGTTGCAAATTGCCCAGGCTAAGTAATATGTGGACATGAGAGGGGTCTGTGAAAAGTGATCCGTAACCCATCCATCTTCTTCAAACACAGACGTTTCCACTGGCATATTGGATAAAGATAGATAGGTTGCTTGATGCTTGATGCTGATTTTGAAAGTAGCCTTGTAGATGGGCTCGTCAAAACAAGGAAATGCCTTTCTGGCATGTGTAGGTGAAAACTGAGTCACACCAAGGAATCTGGAAAGAAGAAAATGACATTCTCAATTACATTTGTGGCTTGAGTTAAGTTATGACCACTTCACATGCTTCTGCTGATAAAATATTTTTGCCAAATTGCAAGATACTTTTTTTTCTGAACCAAACTTAACTGCATGAAGACCATGAAAGCATAATTCATACATATTTCCCCAACAATAAAAATTCTTCAGGGAAGTTTCATCTCAATTAAAGTAAATTCTCTAAACCCAGAGCAGTATTTTCTAGATAAAACATTAACATTTTATAAGAAAACAATGCATTGGCATCTTGTTGGCAAATATTGGAAAGTAATGGTTCTCCTTTTCGGTGTGCCTGCCTTTCTTCCCCGAGCCGTACAACAAGTAAAGACAGTGAAACCGAAATCCGAAAGCTGTCATCAGATACATGTAGGACACAGACCATCACTGGGAAACATCTGTGCCCTCACATTTCAGCAAGACCTAGCCTGAATTTTGGTAAGAAAAAGCACTTTGAAACTTGACAAAACTTGGTCTGAATTGACAACATTCTTACCCATATCACCTTGGGCAATTTCCATAAGGTGTAGTTGTCCATTGCTTAAAAGAGAAGAATCAAGCCCGAAAAGCTCAGAGGGTAAAAAAGAGGACGTGAAGGACCATCACTGTGAATAGACGAACTGCGCCCAGCAGGCAGTCAACAAACTGCAGCCACTGAATAAACGACAGCGGCTGATTCACAGCATCGTCAACCTTTCTGGGAGTGTAATCACATATGTTTACATTGAACGATCCAGACACCATTGGTTTTTACTACTCATAATACGTAGTTATTAAATAAATTTTATATGTTAGTATATGTTAGTATAATACATATAAATTAATATACTATGTATGTAGTAAACATGTCCATGTGTGTAGATGTATACATCTATATACGAAATATATTTAATGTCCTCAAGTTTTCAGATCAAGCTGTGAAGTTGCATCTCATTAAACTCTTAGAAGCAACTTCTACGTTCTTTCATGGTTTTTGGTTACAAATGAAAATACTCAAATTAAATACTTTAAGAAGGAGACTCTTAACTTAAAAAAGAGCCCATTATTTATGAAAACATCCATGACAAAAGTTAATTAAACTTTTTAAATAATACTGGTTACAAAATTTGATATAAGGCAAATCACTATCAGACTCTTGGTGAAACATGACTGAGTTCTAAAGTAATTTCTTTTCCCCATAAGTAGTTCTGACTCCACTCCCCTCTCCACCATCCACAGTGTACACGGTTAATCTAACACAGCACAATTTCCCACTGAGCCCGAACTTGGCCTCAAAATTATTCTCAACACAGCACTTCAGGCAGCTACTTCGGATCAATAAGGGTTGATGTGTATATTGAATCTTATTGGCTATGCCTGGCTCAAACCATGAGATGTAAATGTTTTTACCATTTAAAAATTTTGAAACCTACATTTATCATTAAGGGCCTACATTTTTAATGCTTAGTTTTGAAATAGAGAAAAATAAGATATTTTTACTATTAATTGTATTCTTACCCTCAGAGAGAGGGTTTTCGAGAGTTATCCTGAACACAGTATGGGGCTGCTACACACCCGGCTTAGGTAAATCACTGAACTGTTTGAGCCTATTTTTTCATTAGTAGAAGGAAAATAATAATGTTTTCTTGGCCTTCCTTACAAAACTGTCAAGATGATAAAATGAGATAATACATGAGAAAGAAGTTTTAACTATAAATCTTCAGACAAATATAAGGTTAAAGTAGGAAGCAATCTTAGAAATCTTAGAAACGAATTGTCCAGCTCTCTTCAATTTCTAAAGTGAAAAAGCTTCGGTGAGATTAAGTGATTTCTCCAAAGTTACACAGACTGCTAGTGCAAAGCTGGCTCTAGCAGTCACATTTTCTGTCTGAGTAAAAGGTAATTATATTTCAAAAATAGTAAAATTAATCTGTAGCCATGGTTTATAAACAACGTTTCAATTCAATCGTTGGTAATAAAGGCTCTTCTTTCCAAATTTGCCAGCATCAAGGTAAGATTTTTCCTTATTATTTTCTACTGATAGTAATAGTTTTGCTTAATGAAATGTCAGCACCTTTTAGTTAGAAAACACCCATTCACAGCTTTCTCTTCATGTGCTTTTGTTTTCCATAATGTTCCTGAATCTTATCTTTCAATCTCACTAATTAAAGTGTCTATGATGTTGATATTTCTCTATTGAGGGTATTTAAAAAATATCTACGGGATTTGATACATGAGAAAAAGTGTTTCCTTTTAACTTTCAGGAATCTGAGAGGGGCCGGCCCCGTGGGGAGTGGTTAGGTGGGCGTGCTCCACTTCGGATCCTGGGCCGACCCAGCACTGCTCACCAGGCCATGCTGAGGCGGGGTCCCACGGGGCACAGCCAGGAGAACCTGCAGCTACGTACTGGGGGCCTTGGGGAGAAGAAGAAGAAGAAAAGAGAAAAGATTGGCAACAGATGTTAGCTCAGGTGCCAATCTTTAAGAAGGAAAAAAAAGTCTGAGGACTCCAATTCGTCACTGAACAAATAAATATTGTCTGCTATGTATGAGTACTTCACTATATTAGGTATGTGGTATGATTTTTTAAAAAGACATAACCATTTTTGTCCTTAAGGTCTTTGCAATCTAATTAAAAAGAAAAAATGTACATATACATAAAAAACAACTAATAGTACTTGGGAAAAGTTCTACGAGAGTTCAACCAGGAGACTGCAATTAGAATGTACTTGTTATTAGGTAAAACTCAAAGGTGTCTTTGGCATTAAGTAATTAATGGGCAGGAATTTATTAGATGTAGAAGATCTAAATAACTCTGGGCTAATAAGATATTAATAAACCAAATATTTATGCAGAAGAATCACATTGTGCAGTGTCTTTTTGCCTTACATAGTAAGTAAATATGTTAGCAAAGCCAGCAATTTAAATCACTGATTCTCAGGGTTGAAAGCAATTATAAAGATCATCTAGTGACTTTTTCTGCAACTCAAATTCTTGATGAATTCATACACACAGTATATATATATACATATGCACAGAAGCCAACATACATTCTGATAATGTCTAAATGAAGAAACACCAATTTCACAGTCCGGCACCTGAGGACGATTGCAATTGAATTTCAATTCAGTATTCAGGAAGTCAAAAGAAGTCCCTCAGTAAAGAAGAGCAGTTGGACTAGATTACCTTTAAGGCCTTTTCCAAGATTGAGATCCAATAACTGAACAAAAATTAGAAATAAAATATTCCTTGAAATTGATGAGTTTTTGTAAAAAACGTTAAATTACACTGCCACTAAATAGCTTTTAACTACAAGCTCTATAATGCATTTGCTTCTCTTAATCATGCATTTGTGAGTGTTCAATACTAAGGAGAAAAAGATAAATACATATACTTCCTTCCCTCAAGGAGTTTATACTCTAATAAGTGAAATTAAACATATACCTAAACAGATATCATACAAAAATCCACAACTAAAAGGGAAACATACAAAGAAATGACCTTCTCCTAAAGCAGGGCCTCTCAATCTCGGCAAGCCTGACATTTTTAGGTTGGATAGTTATTCACTGTCCGGGTCTGTCCCTTGCACGGGAGGATGTTTAGCAGCATCGCTGGCCTCCACCTCCAGAAGCCAGTAGCACTGCCTCTCCCCAGTTGTGACAACCACAATATCTCCAGACACTGCAAGTGTCCTTTAGGGGGCAAAACTGACCCAGCTGTGAACCACAACCCTTAAGAACTGAAGGAAGGCTTTATGGAGGAGAAAGTAGTGCTTTAAGGGTTGGAGGTAGACGGGGAAGTGAGCAAGTCGACTATGCGTACCACAGAAATAACCCTCTAAAAAAGCTTTGACTCACACATTAAGGTCGTGCCCTGTCTGCTGTGTGACAGATTCTAGTTTCGTCAGATCTCAGTATGGCCAGTCCACTTCCAACATCTCTTTCGCCCTGGACACCCTCCTTTCTAAAAAAGACAGCCAGATTCAGGCTCAGTCCACTCAGCAAGCAACAGTGTCTCTTGGGTTTCGAAAATATAATTTTGTCTTCACTGTATGTATTTTAAGATTGCCTTCAATTGATGGAAATAAGACTTCTTTTCTGCTTACTGTTGTTATTAAACACATCAAAGAGGCCTCTGGAGAAAGTGATCTGGAGCAGATAATAATGAGCTTAGTTTTCAGTAAATTTGAGTTGAATTTGAGGTGGTAGCAGGACACCAAGTAAAAGAAATAAAAAACTTTAATTAAAAATAGAAAACATTTTGGGGCTGGCCCCGTGGCCGAGTGGTTAAGTTCGCACGCTCCGCTGCAGGCGGCCCAGTGTTTCGTTGGTTCGAATCCTGGGCGCGGACATGGCACTGCTCACCAAACCACGCTGAGGCAGCGTCTCACATGCCGCAACTAGAAGGATCCACAATGAAGAATATACAACTATGTACCGGGGGGCTTTGGGGAGAAAAAGGAAAAAATAAAATCTTTAAAAAAAAAAATAGAAAACATTTTAATATCAGGTCTGGATATTAAATACATAGGTAAATACAGCAAGAAGTAAAATAAAACAGCAGGAGGCAGAAGGTAACGGGGACAAGCATTTTGCTGTCTGTTTTTCCCCTTCTTTCTTAAACAAAATCATTTTTATCTTTTAATGAATCCCTCTATTACCATAAAAAATTCCACTTTCAAAAGTGACATCCTGGAAGCATCATTCCAAGAATGTCACTTTAGCATAACTAGAAAAATATGAATAATATACATGTATTTTAATTCTCTTCTATCTAAAATAAATTACTTGATTTCTTAACAACTTGTCTATGTGACATTTTGGTTGAGCTAAGAAGGAGAGCTTAAAGCTCTCTGTTGCCTCTGAAGGATATAGAGAATTGATTTCTTCTTATTTCTGCGGAAGTTCACTAGGCAAGCTACTCGTATCAAGTCGTTATGATAAGATTCAGCAGAAGTAATGCATTAACGTTGGTTGATATTGCC